AATTTTATAAAAACCTAGATAAAGCTAGTGTTAGAGTACTACCTGCTGTATTTGAAGTGTGACTATCGTTTTAAACTCAAGGCCACGGATGATCATAGAGTTAACACTACAGTTTTAGGAGGGAAAGAAAGCAATACCATGGAAGAAGGACTATTTGATGAAATATTGGCAGTTTTCCAGAAGTGATTACAAATATCAAGTCACAAATTGAGTAGTTCTGCTAACCTCATACACAATAAATAGAAGAAAACATACTGAGGCTTATCATTAGGAAGTTGTTAAAACTGTTTCCCTTTGCTTGAGGCTTCCTTTAATTGAAGTGAAGCACATTTGTTTGTGTCTGGATGGTAGAAAACGTTAAGAGAAAAATATTGACGTATCAGAGGATTAAAGAGGCAAATCGAAATTAAAAGAGCAACAGTAAGCTGACTATTCTAACAAAATAGTGAAAGCAAAGAAACAGTGAAATGGTGTCTTTAGAGTGGTGACAGAAAGGGAATTGCTAACATGCTAATTTTGTATCCAACAAAAATATGCTTCAAAAATTCAAAATGGATTTAAGACCTTCATGTAGGACCCCAAGCTATGTGGCACATAGAAGATAGCTTATGTGAAACATTCCATGACATCAGTGTTAGGTCTTTGGGGATTCAACCCCAACAGCAAGGGAGATGAACGTAAACAATTGGCATTGCATTAAACTGTGAATCTTTGTATAGGAAAAGAAAATATAAATGGAATAAAAATGAAAGCTACTGAATGAGAGAAGGTATTTGTACATCATATATCCAATAAAGGGTTAATATCCAAAGTGCATAAAAATTCATACAACTTAACAAGAACTCAATAAAAATAAGTTGGACAGTAAGTCTGCATATATATATATATATATATATATATATATATATATATTTCTCCCAGAAGAACACACAGATGTTTGACAGGAATATCAAAAAGATGCTTATTATCACTGATTTTCAGATTTATGCAAATTAAGACCACAATGAGCTACCACCTCACACCTGGGAGAATGGCTAATCAGAAGGAGCAAGTGTTGGAGGGAAAGTGGTGAAAAAAGAACCCTCTTATATACTGTTGGTGGGAATGTAAATTGGTGCAACATTTTGGAAAAAGGTGTGTAGCTTCCTCAAGAAGCAAAGATAGAGCTTGCATATGGTTCAGCCGTTCCATTTAGCTATCTAAAGAATCCAGGCATTAACACAAAGTTATATTTTTATTGCATTATAATTAGCAGTTGTTAAAATGTGGAACCAATTGAAAGGCTCTGAAATGCTCATAAATATGTGATTAGATAAAAAAAATGATGGGCTTCTGGGGTTGAAATGATAGTATAGCCAAAAGAATGCTTGCTTGGTCATTCTTGTGATCAACCTGTGTTCGAACCCTAGTACCACACATGGACCCCTGAGTGGCTCGATGAGTGCAGAGCAAGGAGTACGTTTTGAGCACTGCTGGGGTAGCCCCCTCATCCCTCTTCTCTCCTCTCCCCCCACCAAAAAGAAAGATGGGTTTTCTTTATAGAATGGGATACTCCACATATAAAACTGATGAAAACTTGCCATTTTGGTCAAAATGGCAAGAGCTTGACTGGAACAGAACAGAAATATCAGAATGAAAGAGATGAATATTGAGTAATTTCACCTATCTATAATATAAGAATGGGTGGAAAATAAATGAACAGACTAATGAGAACTCAGTAAACAGCAACTAAATAAAAATAAATGTATAATAAATGAACAGTAAAATAAAGCAATAAAATAAACAAACAGACAAATGAGAACGCAGTAGACAAGAAAACCAGGTTACCTAAGGGGTAGGTGGGGAGGGCAGGTGGAAGACATGAAGTGGTATTGTATGTAGAAAAAAGGACAGGAATTGTATTTGTTAAACAAGAAAAAATTAGAGTACTTCTTTTAAAACAAGCAAAAGAATGATAGTACATTTCCAGGTAAGCATGAGCTGATTTTTGTCATTAGCAGACCCAGAGCAAAGGGAAGGGGGAGGGAACGCTTCATGCAGAGAAATGATGTTTTCTTCTGGAGGGAAACAGGGGTTGCAAGAAGAGCAAGGAAAGGGTCACTATGTAGTTGCTGAATAGATACTGACTATACCAAGTAATGTCATGTGAGATTTAAAGCATATGTGGAAGTAAAAAGCAGAGGAAGTAAAAAGCAGAGGAAAAATAGAGCTAAATTGTGCTCCAGTCCTTGCAGGGAATTGGTAGAAATCCAAGCATATTAGACTTGAAGAAGTCAAGGATGTTTGTTTTACTCTCTAGGGTAACCACGAAAATGAAAACTTAAAGACTCAACAGATAAAACTGTGGGGACAATGCTAAGTCATTCCACAATTCTGTTGAGGAAGTTTCAGCAAGATAAACATAGTTTCAGCAAATATATTCACCAATAGAAAAAGGTATTTAATTAGGGGCAGTTAAAGGGCGAGGAGAGAGGTCTGAAAGTAAGAAAGCTGGAAGGTTAAAGAGAAAAAAAAAGTGATGATTAAAGAGAAATACAAAAAGAAAATTGGCATGGACCAAAGTTGGAACACAAGAGAGTATGATTTAAGAAGCTTTGGGAGTATTTCTGGCAACTTCTGCAGTTCATCTAGAGCGAGAACGTCTATGAACCCTTTACAAATCTTCCTTCCTTCCTTCCTTCCTTCCTTCCTTCCTTCCTTCCTTCCTTCCTTCCTTCCTCCCTCCCTCCCTCCCTCCCTCCCTCCCTCCCTCCTCCTATGTCCCTGCTTCCCTCCTCCCTCCCTTGGAACTGTGCTCCTGTTGGGGCTGGGATTCAGACCTAAGTCATCCATGTGCAAGGCAAGAGTGCTGCCCACTGTAGTATCTATCCAGTCCCTCTTTTCAAATCTTCTATCACTGACCTAAATGCTAATACTTTCTCCAGCTACTTTAAATCATGCCTTTGTTACTGGAAAACTTTTTGACTCAATGTAAATTATCCATATTATCTGATTATGCAAAATGTCATTCTCCTGTGAACTTCTTGATTGACTTAGTGTTAGAGTCAGGAAGGATATTAAAAGTGACATCTAATATCATAAAAACTTTGGAAAAAAAAGTTTAAGTTAAAATGTTGTTTAGACCTCATGGGAAGGGGGGCGTTTTGGTCCGCCCTTCACGCCCCACCGAGGCCACCAGTTGCCCCCCACGAGCGGCTCTCCAGCACGGCCACGACTCCAGAGCACAGAAACCGATTTCTTAACTATCTGACTTTCAGTAGAAATACTTCCAGGGTCAATAAATAAAATAGAAGAAATCCAAAACCAACATTTAATTCTTGAACCCAGCTGTAGAAAGCAAATCACTTCACAATGCTTTTTCAGCATGTCTGATTGGGGGGGGGGTAAACTCTAAATAATAGTGGTGAATCTTTTAATGAAACAATGAATCTAATCAAAGCAGATAGAGTGTTAACTAGAATTCATCTGCCTCACAGGGACTGGGAGGGCTGGGGGGTGGGGTCTTATTGGGGTTCTTCATGGTAAAAAATAAGTATTGGTAAAAGGGAAATGCGTTTGATATTTGCATGACTGAGACCTAAACCTGAAAGCTTTGTAACCTTTCCCACAGTGATTCAATAAATAAATAAATTAAATTAAAAAAATGTTGTTTAGAGCCTAATTTAGATATAGAGCTAGTCTTTGCTAAAAGTTCACACTTGATGTTTTTTTCTGATTTGTTTTGCAAAGCCCATTTTACTACCTGTACCTATCACTCGTATCGTTTCATTTTCTTCTTTCTGTTTTCACTTTCTCACATTGCCAGCGTGTAAGCTCCATTTATACTTGATTTTCAGGAAGCGGAACAATGCCTATTGTACATTCTGCACTTAGGAAATGTTGAATTAATGAGCTAACACCCAGATCAACAACAAAAATAAAAAGTAAAAGAGCTTCAAGGATCTATGTCATACTTTGATAATTTTTTAAAAATCTTGAGTGTGTTGTATATTCTGTATTATGGAACTGTTTCAGCCTGAGTTTCATTTCCTTGACATTTCACCTCGCTCCCAACTCTTCACATTTTGCTCATGTTGCAGTGACCTACATGTGGGGTTGTGGTATGTGCTGGGGGTTGCATATCTGGTTGGGGTACTTGCTCAGTCCGCCTTGGTGCTCAGAGAGTGTCATACTCCTTAGGTTGTGGTATTTGCATGTATTCTGGTTGTGAAATTTTTACCTAAATAGCACTTTAGGTTATCACTGGAAGTATGGCTACCATGAATGTGTCTTGGGAAGGGAGAAGGATTATTGTCTCATTTAATGCAACATACATTTATATAGCATCTAACATAGGCAACACTGCTGTGTACTTCCCAGAATATTGAAATGAATAGTTACTGTGTTATTCGAGGGGTTTAGGGTTATGGCTCATGTCATTTGATTTATCGCAAACACAAATGTTTATAATAACCTTCACATGATAAATGACCTGGGCTTTATAAACATACTGTGAGGACTTGGAAAAAATAGACTCTTTAAAAATAGGGAGAAAAGAGGAAGGTTTTATGGGAAAAACAAGAAAAGGAGGTGTACCTATGGATTTTTAAATGGAATATTAGTAAAACTAGTTATACACTTCTAATTTATTATAGCAATCATTTATTCTATGTGACTGGCATTAACTAGAAGAGGAAAAATAAGACTAATAAATCATAGTGAATTCTCCTGTACCCCAGTGTGTTATTTTAGGTGATGATGGTTTCATGTGGGAATATTTAATTCAGTGATCTTTGCCACAAGTATGGAATATTTCTGTGCTATGTGCTGAGGATATAGAGATGACTAAGATATAGTTTCTGTCTTCAAGGACAGTAGAAATAGACATGAAAGAGATAATTATACTTTTATGCAATAATTGCTATACAAGTGGCAAAGTGAATAAAGAAATTTGAGGTTACAGTGGAAACATATAAACAAGTGATTATGTTCCTATTATGGTTTTTTTTTTCTTTTTTCAGTTGGAGAACATCAATTGACAGGCCATAAAGTTGCAGTTAAAATCTTAAACAGACAGAAAATTCGAAGTTTAGATGTTGTTGGAAAAATAAAACGAGAAATTCAAAACCTTAAACTCTTTCGTCATCCTCATATTATCAAACTGTAAGTATTGTACCTAATACTAAAGAGGAAATTGTTGCATAATTTGTACTACTAGCACTAGCAGTATCCTCCCATTGTTCATTGATTTGATCGAGCGGGCCCAGTAACATCTCCATTGTGAGACTTGTTACTGTGTTTGGCATATCGAATATGTCAGTCACGAGTCGCTTGGGTAGCTTACCAGGCTTTGCCATGCAGGCAAAATACTCTCAGTAGCTTGCCAGGCTCTCCGAGAGGGGTGGAGGAATCGAACCCCGGTTGGCCAGGTCAGCTGTGTGCAAGGCAAACGCCCTACCGCTCCAGCCCATAATTTGTACATTATGTGTAATTTTATTTGTAGTAATATTTACAAAGATACCTTTATAATAATAATATCCTGTAAGTGTTGTTTCATTTAGCCTCTGTTAGTTCTTTGCTGTATACCTTTGATTTAGAAATAGATGTCATAGTTTCAAAATAAATACTTCTTTTAAGTGATAAGACAGACTTAAGTTGACTCTAATATTTATAGTATTGAATTATCTGGATTCCTTCTAACTTTTTTATTAACATAGGAGGGTATTTTTTTTTCTAAAAGGTAAAGAATAACTGTTAAAGAATACTACATACAGAATTATTCTGGCAAGCACTATACCCACTGCATCACAGCTGGCAATGCTCAGGGATTACTCCTGGCTCAGCATACAGGAATTACTCCTGGCAGTGCGTGGGGGACCATATGAGATTCTGGGGATCAAACCCAGGTCGACTGTGTGCAAGGCAAATACCCTACCTGCTGTACTATTGCTCGAGCCCCCTAGGATTAATTTTTATAAAGCTAATTAATTGCATTAAATTTTAAATTGGCTAGACTCATAGAACATTTAACTATTAACTATGTAATATTTTAAGCCCTTTGTAGTTGCAGTATAATATTTATTAAGAAAATGTATGCTAAATATTGAAAATGCCTTTATTTTTATATTAAAATTCAGAACTTTTATAGAATAAATATTGATCTTTTTGGTTACCTGATAATGATTAAGAAATGTACTGAGTATTTTATGAGTATAATTTTGCTTCATACTTAGCATAAGTAAGGTAGGTATTATTCTCATTTTGTAGATAAAGAAGTAGTTTTTATAAAGAGTACCAGCATCTTGTTCAAGGTCAAATAGCTAGTAAATTGCAGAGCAAACTGGTAATCTTATGTATGTAAAGAATACTAGCAACTTGTGGCAATCAAATAATAAGTCAATAAGCAAGTTGATAGTCTTATGTCTTTAAAGAGTATTAGGAACTTGTTCAAGGTCAAATCATAAGATGTGGAACAAGCTGGTGATCTAGTGTAGATATTTCTCCGTATACTGTGTTATTAATCTCTAATAGTCTAGGCTTTCTCAAATGAAAATTATATAAGTTCCTTTTATTTATTTTTAAATTTAATTTTATTTTTATAAAGTGTTCACTTATTACATTAATACTCTAACACCAATCCCACCACCATATTTTGAATTTTTCCATCCTGCATTCCAAAGCTTGTCCTCAAAGCAGGGCCTAAATGATTTATTTTGTATTGCTTGTTATGAATAATCTGCTAAAAACGATCCAAAAAAGTTTCCTTAGAGGAAAATGTGTGAAAATTGTATCTCACCTATAAGACATTGTATAATGTCTTATACAATGTCTTGTATAAGACATTACTTTCATGTTGTTAAAGGTTGAGTCTTGTGTGCTCTCTCTCTCTCTCTCTCTCTCTCTCTATCTATCTATATTTTTTTACTCAAGATTGGTTTTCTTCTGCTTTACACCCCATCAAATGTGGTGTGCTACTCTTGGTACATCAGTGGTGTAGAGTATGAGATATTGTGTGGCCTCATGCTCCGAGAATTTTAAAATTTTAAATGGGGTGATACAGTTGAAGTTAATTTTACAAATTTCTTTTAAGAAAAATTAAATTTGTGAATCCTTGGTTTTGATAAAATCTATTTTTTCATATACAGTTACACAAGAATTTAGAAACAATCAACTAGATTTAAACTATATGCTCATAATTTCAGCTAAATTCAAACTTTAAATACAAAGACTAATCAATACTTTGAATACAAATTAATACAGTGAAATTCAAATCAATACTTCTGCACTGTGACAGTACACTGTGACACATGATGGGGTGTTTTGGAAACAAATCATTGTAACTCCAATAATAAGAATTAGTAGGAGATCTAAAAACACCATGTTTGTATTTAGATTTAAATAAGACTTTTGTAGAGAAAGTCTGTTGTGAAAAGTCAGTATTAATATTTTTAAGTTTTTATTTTTTCATTACAACCAGGCATTATATTTAGCCTAAACTTTGCTAGTGAGCCTTCTCTATGTCAGTGTCAAGTGTCATTGTTCATAAAAACACCATAGTAGCCTTGTAGAGGCACAGAGTCTACTCAAGGAGGTGGCCAATGTGCTGTGGTAAGCGTGAAGTGGCTCCAAGGATGTCCTATTACCAAATCATGTGGGCCTTATTATATGGCAAAGGGGAGTGATTGATGGAGTAAATGTTGTCAGTCACCTGACTTTACAAGCAGGCAGATTTTCTTAGGTTGGATCAAATGCAATCAAAATGGTGCTTTAAAGTGGAAAGAGGGAGTGAAAAAGAAAATTGCAAATGTTATATTCCATTTACAGTGCATCTTACCAACAGTGCAAATATGCAACTGAGTATTCAAAGAAGGCCTTTTTTTATTGGTAGGTGGTGGGGTTGGTTCATGAGGTGACATGTGGTCACCCAGTTCTCACAGCTACCTTGAAGACTTCATTCTGCTGTTATTTACATATATATATTTATTTATATATTATTTAATTACCATGAGATATACAGTTACAAAGTTGTTCATGGTTGGGTTTCGGTCATACAATGTTCCAACACTTGTCCCTTTACCAGTGTACATTTCCCTCTCTCTCTCTCTCTCTCTCTCTGGTATTTAAACAAGTACAAACACACTTAATTCTCTAATAACTTAAGGATCACAATTTCAAGAAATAATAAGAATTCTTAGAATATTTAAAACTTGTATATATATACATTTAAGCATACTTGTTTAAATGCCTGAGAGAGAACAAGTACTCTTTTATAGACTTGCGTTTTATTTTATTTATATATTTATTTTTATTTAAAAAAATTTTATTAGTGAATCACCATGAGGTACAGTTATAAACTTATGAACTTTTTTATTTCAGTCATACAGTCATTTACCCGTCCCTCCACCAGTGCCCATTCTCCTCCACCAATGTTCCCAATATCCTTTCCACCACCTCCACCCCGTCCCCTCGCCCCCCACCCTGCCTCTGTGGCAGGGCATTCCGTTTTTTTCCTCTCTCCTTTTGGGTGTTGTAGTTTGCAATAGTCTCTCTCTGTTTCTTTATGAGCATTATGATATGTAGTACAGGTACCAGCAGGTTATCATGTATTTTGCTTACTTTCAGCACTCAGTTCTTGTCTAAAGTGATCATTTCCAACAATCACTGGAAGCCGTCATTCTTAACTGTATGCTTCTTTATTTGAAAGTTCACATGATATTGTATAAAAGAAACCCAAACACAAAACTGTGTAAGTCTGCAACTGTACCTCATGATCTCACTATTAAAAATTAAAAAAAAGAAAGTTCACATGATAATAAGCATAGACAAAATAAGAGGCCCCAATAGTATATGGTAGCACTTTATTAAAATTTTATTGTCTAGGTCTATATGCCAAGTGTTCCAAAATGTATATATACAAGTTTTAAATATTCTAAGAATAAAAATACCATCTATACACACAGTGATTAAACTTTCTTATTATTTCTTAAATTTGTAATCCCTAAGTTATTAGAGAATTAAGTGTGTTTGTACTTGTTTAAATACCTAGTATTTGATGAATGTTTACTCAAAACAGGAATCAGCAGACTACAGGCTTTTTTCAATCGTCTTTCATGGTTCTGAAATGTTTTCAGCTGTTTGAAACAATTAATATCTGATTTGACCCCATGTTAGTAATGACTTTATTCTAATACCTGAGAGACTTCTAAGCTAAAATATATTGCTCTCCTCTATTGTGTAACCCTCCTATAAGAGGACGAAGCTGCAATAATCAGACTAAAAGTATAACAAGCTAGAGTGAGGGTGAAAAGGGTAGCATCTCTATTTGCTTTTAGAGTGCCAGCCTGAGACAGCCCGAGGATATTTTTTTCATAAAGATGAATTCTAGTTCCTCTTCTATTTCTACCAATGCAAATAAGATATTTGTTGGTACATAACTATTTGTCACTGTCACTGCCCTCCCATTGTTCATAGATTTGCTCGAGCGGGCCCAGTAACATTGTGAGACTTGTTACTGTGTTTGGCATATCAAATATATCACAGGTAGCTTGCCAGGCTTTGCCGTGCGGATGAGATACTCTCAGTAGCTTGCCGGGCCCTCCGAGAGGGGTGGAGGAATCGACCGTATGTCAAAATGATTTAAAAGTTCATTTTTGATGTCATACCTACCAATGATTTTTGCCTCTATTTCTTTGATTGTATTTAATTTTTTTTTATTTTTGGGTCACACCCAGTGATGCATGGGGGTTACTCCTGGTTCTGCACTCAGGAATTACTCCTGGAGGTGCTCAGGGGACCATACGGGATATTGGGAATCGAATCCGGGTCGGCCACGTGCAAGGCAAACGCCCTACCCGCTGTACTCTCCAGCCCTATATTTAATTTTGATTTGACTAGCTCATTTAGATTTAGAATTATTAAATTAATTGCTACTTTGTTTTGTGAAAGAATTGTAGGTCATTCTTATCATTGGTTCAAAAGTAATTGGCAGAGGTGAATTTAATATTTAAATCTTCTGGCTTCTAGCCTTGGCTTTATTAATTCATTCAGCTACATTGTCTCTTTAATTGGGGCTGTGAATTTTTAAAAATGCTCTCATGGAGTCTTGCTACATAACAAGCTTATTGACACAGCCTCAGATGTGTTAGTATTTAAACAGGGAGAAA